CAAAAAAAAAAAAATTCAATCATGGATTACAAAAAAAAAACAAACATTTCGATCATGTATTACAAAACATTCGATCATGGATTACAAAAAATTCTATCATGGGTTACAAAAAAAACAAAAAAAACAAAAAAAGCGATCATGGATTACAAGAAAAGAAAACAAACATTTCGATCATGGATTACAAAAAATTCTATTATGGGTTACAAAAAACCAAAAAATTCGATCATGGATTACAAAAAAACAAAAACAATTCGATCATGGATTACAAAAAAATCTATCATGGATTACAAAAAAACAAAAAAAAAAAAATACCGTACGGACTCGCCGATTCACTGTTCGGACTCGCCGATTCCGTACAGTGAATCGGCGAGTCACTATACGGAATCATCCGGTTCTCTCTAGAACCGGACGATTTCCGATTTTTCAACCGATCCGGTCCCTTTTCGCGAATTCCGAGTCGAACCGGGCGAGTCCGGTTCGACTCGGCGTTTTTTAAAACGCTGCTTTGAACAGAACCACATGCAAATGTAAAAACATGACCTGGTATATCATAACTATACGTGCATACGTAACTGAGCAGTGGGAAAATAAGATGAACTTCTAAAGTTCAAATGAAACAAAATCTCAATCTCTGGAATAAAATACTCTAGAAGTTCAAAATCTTAAAAAAAATGTGAGATAGCATGCGAGCGGTTTTTTAAGGATTCTATTCAGAAAAGAAGTCCTTTGCACTCTGAGCCATTATTAAATATAAGTTATAATTTATATTGTGGAAAACTCAGAAGTTATCACCACTGTCGTATCATAGTTGGTTGCTTTCTGCTAGTGAGCTACAAAGTTTAAATCCTTTTGACCCATGCTCCCAGGTTTGCATCCTGTCTTGCACAAAACTTATAATACAATGAACCAAGAAAATAGACGGAGAAATCTCACCAAAACCAAAAAAGGGGAATACAGCACTATAAAATATTACCAAGAGTAAAAGTTCCTTCTTTTTTTTCCCAAAGTTAATCATGACATTCGGCAATGCTTGTAACCAACTGAATTGAAGCCCACCAGGCTTGAGAAGCCTAACCTTCCTGTTGGCCATCTAACAACCCATAAAATATAATAGGATTCCAGGATTCCATTTAGGCCAAACTTTTTCAAATCTAGTTTCAAGACATGCCATAACGTTGCCCAAATGGTAAGCATGATTTCCAAATCAAGACGTACAACACAAATTAATGATGTAAAATTTAGCTAATTATAAAAAATAGTTGGTGATTTTTTAGTAAGTCACCTAGTCTTTTTAAAATTCTCAAAAGAAAACTGCAAAACTTGTTGAAGTACACTTTCAAATTTTGGAGTCCACTCAATTTTGCTAGTGACTAGGTCTTGAGTTCATCCAACTTTTAAGATATCCACGGGGCTAATAGCTCATAGTAAATTTCTAAACATAGTATTGTCCCAAACTAAATTGTATAACCATAGCTGCATGTCTCTAGAAACATGCATGTTAATATGAACTGAATCAACTGATGACTTAGTTTCCTTAAGGCCATCTTGTAATCACCTTGAATTATGAATGAATATAATAGAAGGAAATATGAGAATAAATGAACTGTGCACAAAGATAGTCAATAATAATAGGGAAAATTACGTAAATGTCTGTTTTAGTTTCTTTTATTACCAAAATACCAAATACTTTCCGTTATTACTGATATATCCGTTTTATAGACTTCATAACAAGTGTTTCAAAAAAGACGAAACTACCGAAAATTTTAATGAAAACTACCGAAAAACCGAAATCAGACTAATTTCAATTTTGAAAAACCGAAAATTTTAAATTTTTGGTTCTTCAAGAATCAAAAAATGTTTTCTCTCTCTTGTGGCGTATTCTCTCTCTACCTCGCTTGTGGCATTTTCTCTCTCTTGTGGCGTATTCTCTCTCTACCTCTCTGAAGTCATAGTTATCTGATAAAATCAGGGGGAACAACTAGTTTGAGCCCCTACATCAGTGGAGAATGGAAAGCTGATGACCCAGCCCATGATGCCTTACCTTCAATAAGAGATCTTTCGTCAATTCAAGCTCTTTGAGCTATAGGAATATCTAGATGACCAGATCAGGCCAAATTCCTCTCTCAAAACGCTAGGTGAAACTAACCCAAAAAAAAAGACGCTGGGTAAAGGGAAGAGAGAGAGTTTAAAAAAAAAACCACTTTTACTTATGTAATGTAGAGAGAGAATACATAGACTACCCACAAGAGAAAAAAAATTTCAGTTCTTGAAGAACTAAAAATTTTAAATTTTTGGTTCTTCAAAAACCGAAATTGGCTTGATTTCAGTTTTTGAAAAACCAAAAATGCGTAGTCTTGTCTTTTTTAAAAACAATTGTTATGAAGTCCAAAAAACGGACATATCAGTAATAACAGAAAGCATTCGCTATTTTGGTAATAATGAAAACTAAAACAGATATTTACGTAATTTTTCCATAATAATAAGCTGACTCTCCAAATTTATGCATAATGCCCCTTATGATTATAGTACTGTTCAGCTTTGTTATGAGCTGCTCCTCCAATGAAGTGACATACCCGAAACTGTAGAAAGTATTCTTACCAGCGGCGCTGACGAAGGGAGTGTAAACCAAGTTTATCAGTTATCTCCGAGACACGCATTGCATTTGGAAGGTCTTGTTTGTTGGCAAATACAAGTAGTGTTGCATCACGTAGCTCATCCTGTAGTAAGAAATCCAAATTTAAATATCAACAATCATTTGAAACGTATGTTATTTCTCTAGCGTATATACCAATCAATATTTTTTAGGAGGGTGCCATACATAAAGCTTTGGTCACTTTGACAAATGGACTTAATATAAGAAGATATAAGAAGAAAAAATATAAAAAGAACATTCTAATTTTCATCTCAAGACAAAATAGGTGCCACAAGAAATGGATTTAAAAATGTCACATGCATCAACTAGAGCTAGTATGGTGGAAACCACATCACTATGCATTGCTGTTTTCAAAATGACAACCAATTCAACAAAGTCATTCTCCATATAGTCGTGAACAGAAATTCTATGTTTTAGATGATTTACAGATATAGAACACATAAAGTACAACTTTGGGGGAATGAAAGAAAGATCTTTTTAAGGATGCATTCAAAGATGACAATGAAGTAAGATGGAAATATCCACCTATCATAGCTTCTCCAAACTAATCAATCTAGAGCCTTGCACTTGTTCCAATTCATATACGACCTTCTATCAATCACAATACCCAAGACAATGCTTTGCTTGCTTCATATAATTTTCAAGGAAAATTTTGAAGGAATGATTTCTTACTCTAGCTGATACATTTACCAGTTCAGTTTTGAAGAGAGACTTCTTACATTGCTGATTTTTCTACAAGACTGAAGATTTCCTTCTACACAAATCCATATGCATGATTCCTCTGGCAGCTACAAGGCGAACTTTAAAACATTAAAACACTTCCATGTGATTTAGTTTGAATTTCAACACTCATCTCAGGTCCCTACTTTTGTTTACAACATGAAACTGTATTCCATCTTTCCTAACCCTATTTCTATTTTTTTCTTCTTTTTTTTTTTTCCACAAAACAATGCATGAATGTTCCTCGCTACATTCCACTCTTCACTCATGATGATAAAGAAAGACAAGGATACATGTACTAGCATTTGACATAGATGCGAGTGGCATAAATGTCACCCCTAAAATTGGACTTCCATCTGTACTCACTTAAAGGGGGGGTTGTGGGTTTATAAGTCAAATTAAGTATTTCCATATGAACAACATTGACTAAAGAGAAGGATGCGCCTTGTAACTGAGGCACCCCAAGTTAACATGGGGTCAGGGGTGTTTTTTGGAGGGGCCACGGCTTACAAGGCACAATAGAACTCTCTCTCTCGCCCGCTCTCTTGCTCTCAATCTTGCTGCTTTACACTTGTTAGTTTGTTTTAATGTTACTTTATTCTTTTGTTTTAATGCTACTTTATTCTTTATTTGTCTCATCTTTATGGCCACCTACATGTCCCTCTCCAATCTTCACTCTTTGTTTTCCCTCTCTCACTCGCGATATCATTACTTTATTTATACTCATCTTTCGAGAATATAACAATTGGGGGTAGGAGGAGCAGCCACCTCTCTCTATCTCTCTCTCTCTCTCCACGTTTTCAAGGCACAAACAATTGGATAACATAATGATTTATGGAAAAAGGTATTACGAATTATAAAAACATATGTTTATTAAGAAAATTACTATCCCTTCTCACCTTAATCAAATGACCTGCCATGTCTCTCTACTTTTCCCTCTCGTGCCTAGTTGGGCTTGATTTCTTGTCGTCCCGGGTCGGCCTGCTATGGGTGAACTAGTCGGAGGAATCCTCTCTCGAACAACCGCGGGGCCCATGCGCATGTGTTTGTGTGCATGAAGTGCGGATAGGAACCAACACAAGAGAGATTTTGGTCGGCGAGAAGGGGTTCGAGAACCTACCTCACCGGTTGGGTTTGGGGGACGCACCCGGGCGATTTGCCCTCTTAGATCACTTAGAAAGCCCTCCGACTGTCTTTGCAGTGCGGTTTGAATTCGGCTCCCTCGCTTTGCTGCACAACACTATAATCACACTTATCTAGGACTTTTGAGAGGTGTCTCTTGGCTTGTCTCCAATTAAATATGAAAGGTATGAGAGCTGGGAGTTGTGTTTATTGGTTAAGAGCTTCAAAGAGATAGAAGAGGAAGATAGTAGAAAACAAGGGGGACCCAAAAAACAAACAGCCTTCCGATGTCACCTCTCCTAATAGGTATTACCGGATGACAGAGAAAAGATATTCGACTTGTGGTCGAAATACCCAGGAGGATTAAGGAGAATGGAGTCTTTGAGGTTTGAACCCCTCGCGGATCGTTTCCTGAAGAGGCCCCAAATGAGTAGCTGAGAAGAAGATGAATAAAGAAGAGTAAGAGATGTTATGGGGAAAGAGTGAGAATATAAGAAAGAGAAGGCCTCTCAAAACTCAAACATCTTGCCGACATCCCCTCTCTAAGGAGGTAACCGGGAACGTCGGAAAGTTCCCTAAACTCCTAGAATCTAGAGCACTCTGGAGGATTCTAGGAGTCCTGAGTCTGAGGGAACAAGCCCAAGGATTCAGGTGGGTACTCTTCCTTTAATTCCTCTTGCATCTTATCCCAAGTATTAATTTTGGGCTTTCTCATTCTCTCTCACCTTCCTCTCAGCTGTTCCCACCATACCGAATCACCTTTCTTTAATTTAATGACAATAACTTTAGCCTTTTATTCTTTGGCACATCCTTGTAATCAAAGACCTCTCTATTGTGCTCAACCAGTGTAGAAAGTCGTGGCAGGGACTGACCTTCATAATCAGGAATATCTACTTCTAAGTCAATGGATTTTGAGGCCTATACCTCCGATTATATTCGTCTTCACTCGACTCATCTTGCGGAGCATGATAGAGAAAAGGGCCATACTCAACATCGGCTTGGACAGACAAAACTTCATCCCACCCACAATCAAGTCCTATAAGCCGCCTTGTAAGCTTGATCCCTCTCATCACAATGTGGATCTATATGAATACCCCTACATTGGCCTCTTCTTACTGCTATAGTTTCATCGAAATCACAAATCCTAGGCAAAGAGCCAACAAAACCTCACTGAAACCAGCAAGTTCTAGGCTGATATAAGAAACCTTAGCTTAAAATCAGTAAACCCTAAACTTGGTTGTAGATTCTCAACTTTGTTTTTGAAAAAATATCAAGCTCTGATACCAATTTAATGTCATAAAATTGAGAAAAGATGCCAAAAACAGTTCAATAACCATCAAAAGAGACCAGATTTGAGTGGAGTTCGCTTTCTTTAAAAAAAAAAAGAAAATGACTCCAAAACCCTAGATAGGGCTTGCTGGCAATATTCACACCTTGTTTTTATTGTTCATGCCCCAAGAGTGTTAGAAACCCTAACACTTCAGGCCCTTTTATTATATTATGATTAAAAAAAGACCAAAATTACCCTCACTTAAGTCAAAACATTATAAAATACCTCATACGTCACTTCACTTTAAAGATAATTTGTAATGACACTTTTATCCCTAATAAAATAACGTATTTTTACCCCTAATAAAATAACGTACTTTTAACCCTAATAAAATAATGTACTTTTATCCCTAATAAAATAATGTACTTTTACCGCTAAAAAAATAACGTACTTTTACCCCTAATAAAGTAACGTATTCCATAAGTACTCAAACCATTTTTGTAAACATCTCCTAAAATCATAAAAAATATAAAAAATTCTTAGAAACCCTAAAAGAACTTAAAACCCCTAAACAAATGACCCTAGAAAATTCCAAAAAAATACATCCTTAAAATTTAATTAGAAAAATTCAAAAATAAGAGGGACATCTTGTCTTGCATCTCTTCTATAGTCAAAAGTTAAGTTTTTCCTATTGATAGCTTTTGTGTTCCTGGAACTCTTCATATATAGTGTCAATGATAATAACCATTTTTGTTTTGAGACTTCTCATATATAAGATAGCATTGCACTAGCCACTAGTTAAATATCTGCTTTTGAAGATGTCTTTAACTTTTCATTCCGTTTATTTTTCTTCTTTCATTTTTTTTATAGAACCCGTTATTTTTCATCTTTCATTTTTTTTATAGAACCCAGTAAGATGAAGTTTCTTTTTACGTGGAAATTATAAATATTATATAGTGTTTATATATAGGAAAAAGTTTATGAAAGACATTACCATTTTCAAGTTTTTCAAGAGTTCAAAGATCTAACATGACTACACCATTCTTTTAATTTTAAATTTCATAATTAGGGGAAGAAATCGATTTTCAGGCTGCATAGGTGTTTCCGACACTGAAACTTCATTCTTTGGCACGGTTTCGAGGTGTCCTTTACTTTGATGGTTTAAGGTAAATGGCTTAAATAAACGCACCCATCCATATTTTTATATAAAATATATTAAAAAATAAGACAAATTTATGCCAATTTACTACAATCCTAAAGTGAATATTAGTTCCAAAATGATGAGCAACTTACAAAATAAATACTCTAGAAAAAGACAAACTTTTACTTTCATGATAACTACTAGGAATAATCAACATCGAAAATATGAAATTAGGAAGTGTAACTCACCTCACTTAGCATTCGGTGAAGCTCATCCTTAGCTTCCGAAATACGTTCCCTATCATTGCTGTCAACCACAAAGATAAGTCCTTGAGTGTTCTGGAAGTAGTGCCTCCACAACGGCCGAATCTGTTAAGAATAAGAATAATGCGCCTACATGTCAACCAATAGAACATAAAAAATACAGAGATATATTTTAGACAAAGTACATATTTAAAATCAATCTATAGGATTATCATATTGTTGTCCAATATAGTATGCATACAGTCATCAATCTAACAAGAAATAACAAAATTAAACCCGGTCACAGAATTGTGGAGGCAAGTTGCAAAGGACAAGGGAGCTATATTTAAGAGATAACCGCCTCAATGTTAGTGTTAAATTATATTTTTATTTATTCTCTATGCATGCACCACTCTCTCTCTCTCTCTCGCTGTCTCTCTAAAACGTTCATATAGGGTGGAAAACATACTAGATGAAGCAAGGCTAGAGTAATCTACACTATCCATTTTAATTACTTGGTGCAGATTTCAACAACCTTAGAAAACGTGCCAGATTTTGATATTATCTTAAAACTTAAAGGAAAAAGTTTATATAAAGCCAAGGCTCTAAACAATCAAATTAGAGCCCACCTCAAAAATTCACTAGAAGAGCTTGTTTTCATGCCCAAATATCCTCAAATTGATTATCTCGACATCAAAATGCAGGGACATGAACGGATTTCAAGTTTTGGAAATAGTTTATCTTGTAAAGCATTTTTGGACCGTCAATTTTCAAGATTTTCAAGCTTTCATAGATCTGCTTGATTTACACTATTTTGAAGCTTCAAATTTTATAATTAAAAAAGAAAATACATTTTAAGGCTATCACAAAGATTTTCAGTATTGAAACAATATTTCTCGACACTATTTGAAGGTGCGCTTTACCTTTGATTGTTTAGAGCCTCGGCTCTATTCAAATCGCACCCAAACTTAAAAAACATGTCAAATCTACATAGTCTAACTAAGGATGGTGTAGAACAACACAATCACACTTCTACAGGGTTGCTGCTATATATATATATATGGAAAAACCTAAAAAATGCCCATTGGCAAAACGCTACAGTATTTCGCCTTCATCACGGACATGCTATGTCCGTGACGGTTTATTGAACACAACCGCAACAGACAGCACCGTCCGTTGCGGTTCCACATGAATTTTTGGACCGCCACAGACCTAGTATGTCCGTGACGGTACCTGCCACGGACATGCTAGGTCCATTGCTATTGAAAAACGCACGCCGTCTAATTTTTTCGGACAGCGATTGGCCTATAGGCAAAATCATTGTAGCATTTTGCCCATAAGCATTACATAGATGCTTCCTATATATATATATGTTGGGAAATGATAGCATAGGCCCATTAGCCTACAACTACATATGTGAATCTGGGCCAATCAAATGATCATGGCTTCATTTCATATTTTAATTTTAATTTTTTTCTACAAATCCAAATCACATGAAATTTTAGGTGTCTATTCTTCTCATCAAGGCGCACCTAATCAAAATATTCAAAAAATAATTCACAAAATATAAATTGACCAAATCCCCTAAAACGTTTTAGGGGGTATTTTGGTCAATTTGTTTTTTAAAAAATATTTCTTAATATTTTTATTGGCTTCTTCTATTTTTAAAGAACACACGCCCAAAATTTCAAGTGATTTGGATTTATTAAAAAAAATTAAAATTCAAATACGAAATACAATCATAATTATTGGATCGACCAAGATTCAATCTGGGCCGTTGGACTCATATATCATTGTAGGCTAGTGAGCCTACACCATCATTTTTTTATTATATATATATATATATATAAAGCTTCAAAGGTATTTTGGTTAATTTATTTCTTGCGAATTATTTTTTTAATATTTTTATTAGATTCGCTTAATTTTAAAGAATAGATGCTCAAAATTTCAAGTGATTTAGATTTGTAAAAAAAATTAAAATTCAAATAGGAAATGCAATCGTGACCATTGGGCCTATACTGTTGTTGTTAGCTAGTAGGTTGTTCCCAACTTTTCCCTATATATATATATATATATATATATATATGTTAGGGTGCTCACACTATAGAGCATTTTATAATTGTACTCAACAAATTTACAAATTTTGGACACTTATATATCTTTGTTTTGTATCTAGAGAATTTTTAATAAGAGTATTTTTTGTCATTAGGAGGGGTGTGACGTCATCCACATGGAGCACACTAGCGGCATTTAATGCTCTATATGGGTGATGTCATACCCCATGTGGATGACATCACACCCCTCCTAACGACTAAAAATACCTTTATTAAAATAATATTATATTACAAAACAACAGTACATAAGTGTTCAAAATTTGTTGAATACAATTATAAAATGCTCTATAGCATCCTAACATGACCATATATATATATATATAGAGGAAGCATCTACAAAACGCCGATAGATGAAGTTCTATAGTACTTCACCTATACCTCATCACCGTCCAAAGTTTATTACACGGTCACAGTTGTCCGACAGTATTTGAATTTTTATAATTATTGTACTAATCCGATTTATCTAAAATTTGGGACGTATGTACATATAACCAAGTCGATACATATAACCAAGTCGCACCAAAATAAAATATTAAAAAAATAATAGACAAAAAGATGAAATTATTACCCTTGAAACTTTATAAGGGAATTTTGCGTAATTTTTATCATTCAAATTATTTGTTTTATAATTTATTCATGTGCATCTCACTAAGGCACACACACCTACAAATTTTAAGATCATTATGATTTGTAAAAAAAATATTAAAATTCAAACACTATCAGATATCTGTGACCGTGTGATAAATTTTGAACAGTAATAAAGCCGTAGGTGAAGTACTGTAAAACTTCACCAATAGTTGTTTTGTATATATATATATATATATATATATATGAAAAAATACTATGCAACGCCTATAGGCGAAAATGAACAATGATTTCCCCTATGCTCATCACCATCCAAAATTAATCGCACGGTAATAGTTCTCTGGTAGTGTTTCAATTTCCATTTTTTGTACAAATTGGAATGATTTGAAATTTGGAGCATGTGTTTATAAAAAATAGGAGAATCTAATAAAAATATAAAAAAAAAAAATCGTAAAATATAAATTGACATTTACGGGTGTATTTTGATCAATTTATATTATGCGAAATGTGTTTTTCATATTTTTATTAGGTGCGCCTCACTAAGATGTACACACACTCTCAATTTCAGATCATTCCGATTTAGGAAAAAAAATGAAAATTGAAACACCACCAGACAATCGTGACTGTGCGATGAACTTTGGACGATGATGAGCATAGATGAAATCACTGTTAATTTTTACCATAGGCTAGATATATATATATATATATATATATATATATAT